ANNNNTNAGAGATTTTCAGCTATTTCTGACATCTATAACTTTCTACTTGCTGTTGCTAGATTGTTCATAATATAGAAGATCTGAAGAAATCGGTAACAGAGAGAGCCTCTGCTGTGAAGAAGTCTGAGGAAGGAGCGGCAGACCTAAAACGAAGANTCCAGGAACTCTCNACCNCATTGGAAGAGTGTGAAAANGAGCACCAGGTANTACCNCGAAAGANNAATCTTCATTTCTTGCNAGATTATATTCATTTGTTTTATGNTAATTGGGTTTATGTCCNTTGATTATTAGGGCGTACTAGCTGGTAAGAGTAGTGGAGATGAAGAGAAATGCTTAGAAGATCAACTNCGGGATGCCAAGATTGCTGTTGGAACAGCAGGAACAGAGTTGACACAGCTGAAAACCAAAATAGGACACTGCGAAAAGGAGCTAAATGAGAGAAAGTCTCAGTTAATGTCAAAGCGTGAAGAAGCTGTTGAAGTTGAGAATGAACTTGGTTCTAGAAAAAACGATGTGGAACGTCTAACAAAGGCACTTGAATCTATTCCGTACAAAGATGGTCAAATGGAGGCTTTGGAGAAGGTTAGCAAAGTCACTTTAGTTGTTTCATATACATTTGTTATAGTATACATCTCTAATTGAAATATTCGTTTAGGACTGCGGATCTGAACTTGAAGTTGTGCAAAGGCTGGAAGATAATGTGCGTGGTTTATCAGCTCAATTAGNAAATGTTCAGTTTACATACCGCGATCCTGTGAGGAACTTTGACCGATCAAAGGTGAAAGGTGTGGTNGCAAAACTAATAAAAGTAAAAGATAGAAACTCAATGACAGCNTTGGAGGTAAACTGGCTATCTTATCATTACACAAAACACATTGTTGGATTTCAATTTTCTAAAGTCACTTTGCTTCTTNTTTTCAGGTTACTGCTGGTGGGAAGTTGTATAATGTTGTTGTAGACTCNGAAGATACTGGAAAACAGCTCCTTCAAAACGGTGCTCTTAGGAGAAGAGTTACAATTATACCTCTGAACAAAATTCAATCTTATGTTGTTCAGCCTAGAGTGCAGCAAGCAACTGCTAGATTGGTATGCAGTATGTGGATCTTTTTGTTTGGTATATTTAATTTAATCTCTTTGTTTTCTTTCTTCTTTGCTAATTTTCTATTATATTTTCAGGTTGGAAAAGATAATGCAGANCTGGCACTTTCTTTAGTCGGTTATAGTGAGGAATTAAAGGTACCCGCCTGTGTATAATAACAATTATCTGATACATAATTCTCCATTTATCAAGTTTTATAGAATATCATAATATGCATCACTGAATTCATGAGCTGTAAGTATTTAATTTCAAGTTCATTTTCATCTGAATCATGGTCTTTTGCAGAATGCAATGGAGTATGTTTTTGGCTCCACTTTTGTTTGCAAAACTACTGATGCAGCAAAGGAAGTAAGTCTTTCCCTAGAATTTAGTAGTATATGTGGTATTGCAGCGGCTTCAGCTTTTCTCTCTTGTGAAATTCTGTTAACTCGTACTTTGACTCTATATGTGGATTATGTGGGTGGTGTATATGTATTTTGATTGTCTAAGCTACTTTTCTAGTAACCTTATATGCAATTTTAGCTGTGCCTTTGGTATATTGGTTTCGCTGATCATTGTAGTGAAACACATGATACATGTCAAAATTTCAAACACAACATTCCTTCTTTAGGTTAAGTGGGAGAATTCTCATTTATGTCTACTCTTGACGGATCACATTTGATAATCTGTTCTGAACTTTTATCACTTTTGTTGTGTTCTACATGCAACATACCTTGATAGATTTATATTTTTGCTTATTATGATATTCTATAAAACTTGATAAATGGAGAATTATGTATCATACCTTGATAGATTTATATTAATACTTGCCTCTAGAGTTCAGTCTTTAACATGCCCCTCATTGTTTCTTCTGCAGGTTGCTTTTAATCGGGATATTCGGACTCCAAGTGTCACACTTGAAGGTGATATTTTCCAGCCAAGTGGTCTTCTCACTGGTGGGAGTCGCAAGTATGTCTTTCTTTCTTGGACGCTTAGATCTCTTCTGAGAGTCATCTTCTTCGTTTCTTACGGATGTTGTTCAGAAATGTCTAAAATTCAAGGATAAAAGCATTTTGCTCATATTTATTCTTTTTCCTTAGGGGTGGAGGTGATCTCCTTAGGCAACTTCATGACCTGGCAGAAGNCGAATCTAAATTACAAGGACACCAGAAAAGGTTGGCTGACATTGAAGCGCAGGTAAGCCCCCTTAAGTTATCTTTCCGCGCTAGAGCTGAATATACTTTGGAACTTAACGGTTGTGTTAGGCATATTTGGATATAATAAGAAATTGTATCAGGCCGGAGCTTAGTAATGCTTTCTCATTGCTCTTTTTGGGCTCCTCATGTCACAGACTCACAGTAAGAAAAAGATCTCATTATTTAAATCGTTAACTGCTTGTTTTTCTTGATCACAGATCAAAGAACTTCAGCCTCTTCATAAGAAATTCACTGACGTTAAAGCACAGTTGGAGCTAAAAACGTATGACTTGTCCTTATTTCTGAAGAGGGCTGAACAGAATGGGCATCACAAGGTCTGTATCTCCATCTCCTATCTATATCTTTCGAGCTACATTGCCAGTTTCGTGTTGCCTTTTCTTGGTACCTGAGGCACATATTTATAGTTTTGATCCCGTCTATCTTTTCTATGTATAGCTTGGTGAAGCAGTGAAAAAACTTGAAGTAGAGCTTGAAGAAGCAAAATCTCAAATCAAAGAGAAGGAACTTGGTTACAAAAAGTGTGTTGATGCTGTCTCCACACTAGAGAAATCCATCAAAGACCATGACAAAAACAGAGAGGGGAGACTCAAGGACTTGGAAAAAAATATTAAGACTATCAAAGCTCAGATGCAGGCAGCTTCTAAAGATTTAAAGGTATTCTAAATCTTTCAGTCAAATACTTTATTATGGAAACCTTTCCTTCTTTTAATTTTTTTGGAGGTTTTCCAAAATCCGCTGTAACAATCTATATGGTTCTTCATGCTCATAGAGTCATGAAAATGAGAAAGAAAAACTTGTGATGGAGGAAGAAGCAATGGTGCAAGAACAGTCGTCCTTGGAGAGCCAGTTAGCTTCATTGAAAACCCAAATTAGCACTCTGACTTCAGAAGTAGACGAACAGCGGGCCAAGGTAACTGTATTTTTTCTGCTCTAGGGAGAATTTGTTGAAAATGAAGAATATCATGTTGATATATGATTCCCCTGCAGGTTGATGCCTTGCAGAAGATTCATGACGAGTCTCTTGCAGAGCTTAAGTTGATACATGCAAAGATGAAGGAATGCGATACACAGATAAGTGGTTTTGTCACTAACCAGGAAAAATGTCTGCAGAACCTTAGTGACATGAAGCTTGAGAGAAAGAGATTAGAAAATGAGGTACTTTCTCTCTCATCTTTCCGTCTTGTTTAGGTTTTGCAAAGCTACAAGCCATGCTTGTTTCGTCCTTTCCACCAGTCAGATTTATGTTGCTCTAAATCATTAGAACATAGTTTTCTAAAACATTTGCATGTCAAAGAATATACTTTTCATGAGACTTTTTCTTCCACTTTGTTTATAGGTAGTAAGGATGGAGACGGATCACAAGGATTGTTCGGTGAAGGTAGACAAACTTGTTGAGAAGCATACATGGATAGCATCTGAAAAGCAACTTTTCGGAAAAGGAGGGACAGATTATGATTTTGAGTCTTGTGATCCTTATGTAGCCAGAGAAAAACTTGAAAAGCTCCAGTCAGATCAATCAAGGTAATTATGTGTTTGAGGATTAACATTTATCTTTATGCAACCTATATTGTCCTCACATTCCTGGACTGCAGTATCAATATAACATGCTTTCTTCTTCCTTTCTTGGTTATTATTATCAATTTCCCTCATGAAGCTTGGAAAAAAGGGTGAACAAGAAGGTTATGGCAATGTTTGAAAAAGCAGAAGATGAATACAATGCTCTTATCTCCAAGAAAATTACAATTGAGGTTAGAAACAGAGAGCCATTACGCTGTAATTCAACTGCTTTGTGTGTCATTACTTATGCAATTACTTTTCGTTTTATGCTAGAATGACAAATTTAAAATCAAGAAAGTGATTGAGGAGCTCGATGAGAAGAAAAAAGAAACCCTGAAAGTTACTTGGGTTAAAGTCAATCAGTGAGTTTGCCTTCTTTCTCTAACACCGAGTCTTATGATCTCATTCATTGATGATATTCACCTTTGTTAAGATCCTTTTGTTTAGGGATTTCGGATCGATATTTTCAACTCTACTACCCGGTACCATGGCAAAACTAGAACCTCCTGAAAGCGGTAGCTTCCTCGATGGTCTTGAGGTTCGTGTTGCCTTTGGAAAAGTTTGGAAGCAGTCTTTATCAGAACTCAGCGGAGGACAAAGATCTCTTCTTGCGCTGTCGCTAATCTTGGCGTTGCTTCTCTTCAAGCCGGCTCCTCTTTATATATTAGACGAGGTACATACACCTCAGTTTTTTCATTCTCAGATTCCTTTGTAATGTATCTTTAGTATAAAAACTGGCTCGTTTAACACTTTTGAATTATTCAGGTTGATGCAGCTCTTGATCTAAGTCACACACAGAACATAGGAAGAATGATAAAAGCTCATTTCCCTCACTCGCAGGTCGAAACCTCTATCTCAAGTCTCAAACCCTTTATGTAGTTTACTTAAAAATCCAATTTTGCTGATTTTGAAAGCTCTGATTCTTGAAACAGTTTATCGTGGTTTCGCTGAAAGAAGGGATGTTCAACAATGCCAATGTTCTTTTCCGGACAAAGTTCGTTGATGGAGTCTCAACAGTTCAAAGGACAGTAACGAAGCCGACCAAGTGATCATATATATATGTCTCTACAATCAATTAATATAGTTCCAAAAACTGTTCATCACTGTGTGCACGCTTTTATGTTTTTTGACATTTTTGTAGTTTGTCAGAAATTCGGAATTTAAATTCTGATATCAACCAACAAAAAGATGGACGACATGTGTGCACACATATATAAGTACATATTTCATAATAT